GTTTAAGATTACAATACGTTGTAATAATCGAAATTGTTTCATAATTGTTGTCTCTAACGCAACCAAACTATGATCAATGAATCGTTGTCGACCCAGTTGCTTTTTGCCGAATGTCTAATATTCTGTTTGTATTTAGCAGATGGCATAGAGTGTTGTCATCATCTTTGTGCAAAACTAATTTGATGCAGTCGATTCATATGCTTATAATGAGCTGTTAATTGATTTGCGCGTTCATATCATTGAGTTCACATTATATGTGTGTCTTTTTGAATCACTGAACCTAAAAGCTTGCCTACATTTGTCCTCCGATCAATTGGCGTATAATGGATGAAGTTTCAGGTTTGCACGTCTTCTGCNCGTACACCGTTAAAGGTATGGATCTGTCGCTTTCTGGCGTTCTCTCGTACATCTCAACTCGTGGATTAAGTATGATCGAATCGGGTGAATGCACTGCAACTGATCTGTGTTTTTCTTTACAAGTTGGTTATTCAGATTTCATTGTGTGTCATTCACGATTCGTTGTTCATTTGATATTTTGAGATGTGGCGCTTTTGAAGTTCTAGATGGGAACTTTGAATGTTCTGTTGTTAATGGCCTCGAAATTTGTTTTCAATCGATCGATGTGGAACTTTTAAGGGTTCATCAAATGTGATTTTCTAATCGGAATTTCTTATTATATATCGCAATTTCTGATGATTTCATCGAATCGAAACGCAATCCTCAGTGAATAATAAATTCAACTATTGGTTAAATGGGAAAAGTGGGAAACAAAGTACTCAATTATGAATAGCTGATAAAGGGAGTGCATCTTAAGGAGACAGTATTCGCAATGTTGGTTGAGATAACGGAGCGTGCGATGGCACATTGCGGTAGTAATGAGGTGTTAGTGGTTGGCGGTGTGGGCTGTAATAAGCGACTGCAGCAAATGATGCAAATCATGGCAAATGAAAGGTGACATGCATTAATTTTTATCACTCACTTTTGCATTCTCTTATTATCTATCTCATTCGACTTAGTTCATTGATTTCTGTTCGCTGATAAAACCAAGACATCTATAATTATGAGATCGCTGAATGAAATACTGTCAACAAGGTTCGAGAAAAAGATTGGTTTCTGCGTTGAGGAATAGACGCGCCTTCAACGAATGAATCGAATTGTTTTCAGAGGTGCGAAATTATTTGCAACGGATGAGCGATTTTGTATTGATAACGGTGCGATGATAGCACAAGCTGGTTGGCATATGGCTCGTGCGAATGTGCATGCACGATTGGAACAGTCCACTATCACACAGCGATATCGCACTGATCAAGTGCATATCGCTTGGAGGGATTAAGCT